CAAAAGCAGAAGTCGTCAAAATTGTGAACCTATAATACTGCCCCAGTGACTGTTTAAGGAATGTTATTTGATCCATACGGGAAGACGAACACATTCCCTGATGAGAGGAGAGGTGAGGTCGTATAGTGCTGTTTATTTGAAGAATAACATACAGTGACTGTGTTTCTTTGTACAGAATGTTTACGAAGTCACTTCAGACGGATTGAAGGACCTGCTAAATGCAGGAACAAGGGCCTACCAGCCTGAGATGTAATATCTGTTATCTTGATTAAATTGACAGGCGTGAAAGCAAAATGGCAGGAAACAGCCTCGTTCTGCCCATCGTCCTGTGGGGCCGTAAAGCCCCCACACACTGCATATCCACCCTGCTGCTCATGGAGGACGCGTCCATGATTGTCACCGGCTGCCACGATGGACAAATATGTCTCTGGGACCTCTCTGTGGATTTAGAGGTAAGACTGAAGTCTGTGTAATCTTAATTTTCTGTATGTTTGAGGTGCGTATCGTTGTTGCCAGTGTGATTTTGTTCTTTGATGTTTTAGTATCTGTTCTGGTCTTCAGTTCTTTCCACATCCTTGTCCTTTCTTCCTCCCTCTGCCGAGGCCTGGGTTGACACTGCATGCTTCCCATAGTGAATATTTCAGACTAGAAAGAGACGTTTTTGTTCTTGAACTTTGCTGCTGCTCCTGCAGTAATTTTTTTAACTAATTGCTTCCTCTTTTTTTGGGAGCTGCTCTAGACTAGTGGTTACTTTCAAGTTTGGCTGCTTAATACTGGCTTGTGAAAACAGATTCCAGTCATTAGAGGACTGTACTTAGAACTTTTTAAGGTGGGTTTTTTTTGCAACCATTTTTTTTCCATGAAAACTGAAAGAGCAAAAAGGCTAGTAGCAGAGATAGATGTTGATGATTCATTGTCTTATGCCAGTGGCTGCCCTAGAGTTGAAATCTGCAAGTGCTTATTTTGAATATGATCTGGTAGTTCGCCTTGGTACAAGGAGTTTTAAACTCTTGGAATGAAATAGCAAAACAGTCCTTTCTTGTAAAAAGCAACATGCTTCAGGAAAAGTTGTACTGACTGCTTAAAGATGTCAACGTCTGCGAGTTACCCCCATAAACTATGTTTATGTCTGGCATATTTAAAAAGAAAGAATGGGAGAAAACAACTATTTCTTTCTAGAAAAGACAAATAAAGAGCAGTTTTCCTTTTTTATCCTTAATCTGTGCGTGGGCTTTATATAAACTTATTTATGAATGTGTAGGGTTGTGAACTATACTTGATGGGGGGACTGTTGTTGCAGTACAACACAATTTTTTCATTCAAATTATGTCAAACTCAGCTTATGATTTAAAAATATTGGTAGCATGAGTTTGGTGCAAAATGCTTCTTTTTTTTCCACAAATTTGCGTGACAGTGTTAGGTAGAAACTCTTCTTTTTTTCCCATACTATAGCAGCGTTCAGTGCAAACTTTCCAGATTATATATCCACTGCTATGCTAATAAATGTGTATGTATATAAAACACATTTATTTAACTAATACGTAAAATGGAAACCTGAAATATGTATATTCTGGTTAAGTAACAGTGGCTATGTTGGTTTTGCTTCATATTTTGTTTCTGTGCTTCTAGATTAATCCCAGAGCTCTGTTGTTTGGTCATACAGCCTCAATTACTTGTTTATCAAAGGCCTCTGCTTCCAGTGAAAAGCAGTATATAGTGAGCGCATCAGAAAGCGGGTGAGTTTCCTGAGAATTTATTGATATGCACGTCTGTTAAATGATGGAAACTGAGGGTAGAGGAGAGATCAGGTTGTTTACATACACGATATTTTTTACTTGGTGTAATGTCCAAATGACGGGACTTCTCCCCTGTAGATCCTGAGCGTGGTGTGGATTTTGGGTTCGTGGCCGGAGAGGGGCACAGGAAAGTGCCCGAGGTCCTGGAGGGCTTCCTCTGGTGCTGCTTGTGCCGTGGGAGTGGGTGACAGGACACCCCCAGTTGTGTGTGGAGCACTGGGTGTCATTGGTGTCCGGGTGGGCAACGACATGTGTGACGTGTTACCCTCAGACACGGCACTTCTGTGCTTTCTGTTGTCTTTTCACACGTGTGAGTTTGTCAGTTCAGTTGACAGTAGATCCACGTTTTGCTCCTTTTTCTCTGCTTATCCAAGATCTGTTTCTGGAGTGAAAGCAAGCTTGGGTTGTAGTGCAGCTTGTTGGCAGGAAGTGATCCCCAATTCCTGTTTAAAACTTGGAAATCTGTCACACAATTCAACTGTATTTCTGTTGCGGTGTTTGATTTTTATCCTTAAGAAAAAAATATGTCAGCAAATACACTTTATTTTTTAAGTGATTTTGTTATGACTCAGAGCTGCTGTTTAGAGAGGGGAAGGGTTTCTCATGCGATTGACATCAATGGGGATTGCAGTCAGGTAATTTAAAGTAAAAAAAAAACCAAAAAAAAACCAGAAAAACCAACCCAAAAAACCCCTCATCCTCTGTAAATTCAATACAGTATACTCTGTACACTCACATTTTAGCCTAGATTTCGGGCTAATTTATTGAAAAAAATACAGAATTTGGTAAATTACAGGCCAAAGCTTTGCAGCCAACTACTTTTGGCATTCATAACTCACACATGTCGCTTCCTCCCCACCTCCTCTTCTTCCCATCCTCTGCCTCAGGCTGGGCACAGGATCTTTAGTAACCGACTGTCCTCTCCTGGGAGAGTGCCTCCGGCCGGCGAAATAACTTGTCCTGCTGCGGTTTTGTGCTGTAGCTTTTGCCCTCTGAATTGGGGTCCCCTCCCGCTACAGAGAGCTTTTCCCCCGCGCCCCTGGGCGTTGGCAGCCATCGGGAGCTGGGGTCTGGGTCAGTGCGGCCCGGCTGGCAGTGCAGCACAGCGCAGCGCGGGCAGGACGGGGAGAGGGCCCAGCTTAAACAGCCTTGCAGGGACGAGGAGCCCCTGCCCAGACAGCTTCCAGCGCTTTCTCGAGAACTCTTCAAGGGCAAACACCAACTTAACCAGGGTCAGCCGTGAGCCCAGGCTGGCCCGTGCGGGCGGGGAGGGTGCATTCCCTGTGTCCTGGCGTCTGCGCTCGCACTCCGGCTGCGTGAGAGTGAGTCCTCGCTACCGGCAGGCAAGGAAACGGGCCATGGTCTGGCTCTTCTGGTGGTCATTCTGGAAGGCAGGAGCTCTCTGTCTCCAAAATACGAGCCTAGTCTTGGTTCAGGGAGTTGGAGCAACTACTGTTGTTATCCGGAGTCTAGAGTAGCTTCTGAGTTTCTAAGTAGAGCTGCAAGCCTTTCGGTTATGAGTCGTCTTCCTCCATGGACTTGCATCGAACCAGACGGGTTGCCTTCACCCCTGCCCTATGGCAGGCCATCTCGCCATACTGCTGATTTTTAGCATCTCTTTCTGGAGTCTTAACAGCACAGGGAATGGTATAGGTTTAGAATGGGTTAGCTCTCTTTGTGAAGACAGTTACTTTCATTCCAGAACAACAGTATTTTGGAAAGAAGTTGTAATTACACATCATAATATTTCTTCTTAAACTAGCGGGGACTTTGAGCACTCTGAGACTGAATGTGGTAATGCATGTGTAATTTGTTTTTAAAACCTGACTTTCCACTTTTAAAAGCAAAGTTAACATTTCCGACTCAGTTGCCTCTCATTAGGCAAAATATTTAACCTGAAGGGATTTGCAAAGGTATTCCTTCCCAGAGCATCAGCCTGTTCTTGAGGGTTGCTTTTGCATTCCTGTACAGAACTTGCTGTTTGAATGACAGACTTTTCTGCTCTGCAAAACAAAAAAGTTTGTGAGTCTGGGGGTTTGTTTGTTTATTTGCTTTGTTTTTAAAAGGCTGTTTATGGAAAGGTGGCCCTCCTGGCTGAGGCTGATTTGATCAGCTGTGGTTGAGGAAGCAATTTCTTAACCTCTGCCTCTATAAATGTAGCTGTCCAGATATAGGTCTGTTATGTGTCCAAACAAGATGAAGAAATTTGTTTATCTGGAAAAGGCAGGGAACAATTATGACTGAACAACCTTTTAACCTGGAAGTGAAAGCAGAATGTGTCAAAACTTAGAATTTCCATCTTGTAATGATTGTGGTACTGAGTAATCTTTTCCTTTGGATTTAGAGCCAAAATATGTTTTCATTGTGAAATTATATATATAAAGGTGACAAAGCAGCTGGGAGTTTATTTTCTGATGGAATTTTGATATACAATTTTAAAAGTATTTCTTTAAATACTGTAAGTAGTACTGGCTGCTAATTGGAATGAATTCATATGGGTAACTGTAATCTTTGCTCGTAAGGCAAGTCGGGAACGCATCCACTGGTACTACTTATAAAGTGTTGTTCAGTGCTTTGGGTTTGGTCTCAGGAGCGCTGGAGGGTCCCAGGTGACGCTTCCACCGCCAGACAGCCCGGGCCCTGGGGAAGGCCCGCAGTGCTCACTGCCAGCCGGCACAGCGCGGCGCTCTGTACGCTGTTTTCTTCCTCACCGGTGCGGGGAAGGCGAGCTAATCTTTGGGCAGCTTGGGGGTGCGGTGGAAGTGTGTAATGACTGGAGACATTTGTGAGAGAAGTGAGAAATTTGCAGTTACGCACTTGTTTAACGTTGGTTGTTTATGATGAACCTTGGCATTTCGCTTGTTTCCCCTGATCCTTGTGGGGAAGAAGAGGTGGTGTACATTCAGATGGAAGGACTGGGAGATCAAGTTGATTTTGCGTTTCCTTTATCTAAATACAATTCGTATACTCGCTAACAAATGGTTCAAATGGTTAAGTTTCTCCCAATGTAAATGATTTTTAGACTTGGAAGACTGAAGTATTTTCCACGTAGTTTTAATCTGCCTTTTATATTTTAGGGAGATGTGTCTGTGGGATGTGAATGATGGGAGATGCATAGAGTTTACTAAACTTGCCTGTACACATACTGGCATACAGGTTAGTACCTTGTGTGTGTTTCAGAGGTCCTATTCTGTATTGCAAAGTATGGATAACTATAGATCAGTTATCAAGACAAGGCTGTCTTTTTTCTTTTTAAGCTTAATAATGACATTGTATGCATGCTGAAGTATCTCATAAATAGTTTATGCTGTATCATCAAATGCCCTAGAGCTGAAATATGTGCTGTGCTTCAGCATTTGAAAAAACGTATCATATTTAATGAGAGAGGCTGGAAAGGAAGAAAGAAAAGGAGAAAATTTTTGGAGTACTGCCTGGGGAGGTGGGAACATGACGGTGATCTTAGTGGGGAAGACTGAGGTAGGCTTGTGTCAGCTGCCAGAGCTGGGTGGACAGGGCAAGGATTGCCTTGGGAAGATAACAGGAGAGAGGAGGCCTCTGCAAAAAAACTCCCCTCCTCAGTGCAGAGTAGTAATTTTTAAATGTATAGGCATTATAATATATTTATGAAATTATGGGTTTGATTAAAAATGAAGTGGTTAATGTCTCACATGGAGTATAATTTCTGTATCTTGTTAATATCCATTTAGTTCTATCAGTTTACAGTTGGGACTCAGCGTGAAGGGAGGCTGTTATGCTATGGACATTATCCAGAAATTCTCGTTGTGGATGCTACCAGCCTTGAAGTCCTTTATTCTTTATTGTCAAAGATATCTCCTGACTGGATCAGCTCCATGACTATCATTCGATCCAATAGAACACAAGGTAATTGTTGCTTTTATTATGGCTTTGCCTCCTTGTATGACAAAACACTGTTTTCAGCCTTTTCAGGAACCTGAGGAGGAACTGGAATGTTACTTCCTGTGATCCTGGGCAACACCGAGCAAGCGCTAACCTTTCCAAAAAGCAAAGTATGGATAGTTCTTTCTAGTCCCTGAAAAAGAGGCTAGTTTAGTGTCTGTGCAATGTTGCCTCTGCTGCTGCTCCATCAAATGGGAGTTTTGGCTCTGGCTAAAACGTAACCGCTTTCCCGTGAACAGAACCTAAACTTTAGCCGGGTCACTCCGCGTGTGGGCGCCTGGCAGGATCCAGGCCAACATGGTAAATAGATTCAGGTCTGTCATCTTCAGTGTGTGCATGTGTGGAACCTGAAGGACAAGAAACCTTCCTGCAGGAAGAGTGATTTATTTTTATTATTATTATTATTTTATTTTATTTTATTTGGAGTAAAAGCATGTTTCAGTGGGGTGATAACTTGTTTTCTCTTGGAGAACTAAGAATAAGTTCTGGAGAGCACTTTGACAGCAAGAGCCTGGAAACTGGCACGGGACTGAAGGAAGGGGTGCAAGCCCTCTAAACACTAAGGCTGTCATCTGCGTTACGAGCGTGCTGTGTCGTGTATGTCGAGATCGCTCGGCCAGCCATACATTGTGATTTCTGACAAGATATATGCATGCTATGAGTATTTCTTGTGACTAGCAGCTTCGTAAAAAGCACAGTCATAATGTTTTCGAAGCTATTATTGTAGGAAATGTGTTTAAGGAATGTGGTGATTAAAGTACACAATAGAATTAAAAACCTGAAGATTCCTGAGGAAGAACTTGTAAAAGCGGTGACAGTCAGTTTAGTGGAGAGGCGTGTGAGTAGGCTCATGGTTCGTGCTGGATTAGCTGATGTGGTTTGAAGTGATACCTGTCAGCACATCTGTTTTGCTCAGCTAGTTTCTGTTCATTTGCTGGGCTTTAAAGCCTGGCAGCTGAGGCAGAGAGGTGTCTCGCTGAGCTTTTCCTGTTGTGGAGACTGGAATTCCCGAGAGGTTTGGGGAGCATGAAGGAGGACGATCCTGACAAAAGGAAAGACTTTTACCTTGAGCTGAGGCTGACAGCTATGTAAACTGAGTGTTCCTGAAGTGCTGAAGTGGGAAAGCTCAGTTGCTGTCCCTGCAGCATCTTAAGTTCGTGGAACAACTGAAGTGAACTCTGGTGTTAACCGTTTCCTGATACTGACTTTTATTTCTTGTTTTGTAATAGTTTTGATATTGTAATCAAGAAGTTACGCCTTGGATTTTGGTCTTAGGCCAGACTTGTCTGGTAGAAACAGGAGTTTCTAGAAAGTCTGAGTAGCACGTGGATACTCTGGTTTCTGTGAAGGTGGTGGCTCTAGTGGAGTAATCTGGTGGAGATGCCTGTTGGGAACCCGCAGCCCAGAGGTGCTTGGGCAGCTGTGCCACTGGGATCTGCTCCCCGCTAACCTTCTGGGTCCTCGCAGGCAGCTCTGGGTGGGCAGCCTGGCAGAAGCAAGAAGTGTCTCCCCTCGGGAGGGTAACCCCTGGCCTTTGGGGAGAGCGATGGGACAATGTCCGATAGCAGTACCGTAGGCAGAAACACCTGGGGCTTGACTTCCCCCATTTAATTTGAGCCCTGGGTATGAATTGACAGCAACCCGTGGAATCTGTGTGTGCGTGAACTTCTGGCATACGGCTTTGCAAACAAACGTTTGGTTTTGAAGCAAACACTTCAGGAATGTTTTGATCACCTTTGAACGCTGAGGTGCTCTCGGCATGTTTTTGTACTCGGGTGCGCACAAGTGTGCGACAACATGACGGCTCCCTTGTACTTATCAGCCCGATGCTTGTTTTTCCCCAGAGGACACTGTTGTAGCAGTTTCGGTGACTGGCATCCTGAAGGTGTGGATAATAACCTCTGAAGTCAATCGGATGCAGGTAAACAAAGGCTTCTGAATTAATGATATTTCCTGTTGCGATGAAGGGAGAACTGCTATTAATGCTGTTTCCTCTTCTTCCAGCTACCTAATGATACTACGGTTTTTCTCCTCTCTGCCCTTTGAAAATCAGCTTCCTTTATTTTTGCTTTACTGATTCTTCGAGTTACCAGCAGAATTCCCAATCTTTCTCATGTTTGACTCTGAGAACTTACCTCAAAATTAAGAGTTTCTACAAATCTGGTTTTTTAATTTGTACCTTGTAATGAGTTGTGTTATTATACAAATATTTTTCTTTTAATTTTTCCCTCTTTAAAAGTCCTATTATTTCCTTAAGCCATCTGGTACTATGTTCCAGAGGAGTTTTGAGTTTGAAATGGCATTTAGTAACAAAGGTTGTTGCAGAAACGTTTAACGTCCCAAAACAACACGGATGCTGTACTGGATGCGTAACTTCATTCAGTACAGGCAAAGCCTCTATGCAAGAGCTTGCCATGTAGGTACTCACTGGTTGAAAGAGACGGTGCTAATAAATACATGTTTACTCTGCATAGTACAGATAGAAGAAACAAGTCACAGGGTTAAAGCTTGCCCTGTACTGCATGGGAAACGTGTCTTTTAATATGGTGGTGGCATTATAGAAGTGACTTTATCATGATGCTACTCTTTTTTTATGATTAAGTTCTCTAGCTGCATTTATTATGCTCTTAAAATATCTGTACTTAATTAAAAACTATTTTTCATTATCGTTTTATTTTATCATACTATTATTATTAAATTTAGTATTAAAATTATTATTATTAAATGTGGTATTTTCTTTGGGAAAGATGGGTGAGATCTGGAGATGCCCAGAGGGTTTGCTGAGCAGAGAATACAGTTTTTAGAATAATCTTTATTAGGGCTTATCTACAGCTTGCTTGGTTATTTGGCAGTTCCTGCCTTCCTGTGGACTAATGAATAGAAGTCTGAAAGGAGATTTGCTACGTGTCTCGTAGACCTCTGGCAAATTAGCTGTTCAGAGAAACCTGTTGTAAATGTACACCTTACTGTAGGAGTTTAGCAACTGTGGAAAAGTAGCCTTATAATACAGAAACAAACCAGTTTTTGCTGGACTTGTTTATTTCCAGAATACTTGTAATAGAAATCAACACAGTTTGCATTAACTTGAAAGAGCAATATAACGGAATTCCTTGCTTTTGACCCCGTCAGGGGTAATCGTGATTTTTATGTTTCATAGTTTCAGACTTGGTGAAGTAATGTTTGCTCTCAAAGCAGTTTCTGGAAACCTTTGTCGTGCAGCTAGTAATGTTTTAGCATTTAACAGGTACACCTGGGGAAAAAAGAACCACAACAACAAAAAAAGCCCAGCAAAAGGCAGCTGTAAGCAGTGAGGGGTATCGGCTGTTGTGCAAGTGAGGAACACACAGATGTGACTAAAGAGGAGCTTGGCGCAGCCTAGTCTGTCTGGGATACGGGGAACCCGGCAGCAATGAAATGTGCCCGAATCTGCTCCGTTTCAGCTGACTGTCTGGGTGCAAGGTAACGCGTTGACAGTGACGATGCTAAATAGGCACCGCTAATCTGGCCAGCTGGGGAATTTGTTAGACTTAAGTGACGGAAGAGGATACCACATGCTCTTGTAGATCTTCTTATGAGGAATAATAGAATAAGAGCTGCTACAAGGGTTTGGTTTTTCCTTAGAAGTTGGCCATCTGGCGTCTTATGAAACGGCATAGTCCCTTTTCCATCGCGTGGTCTTTGTCATTTTGCGACTTCAATTTGAGCAAGAAGGAAAATTGTCTGGGTGTTTTCTTGTTATCTGATTTCTGTCTGTTTGTTGTTCTGTGTGTTGTTCTGTGCCTGAAACTCTCCGTTTCAGGCCCTGGTTGCTGTAACGCTGTCTGAACTCTTAAGTGGTTTCTGTGTAGGACGGAATGCTTATTCCCCATCTTGAAGATGAGGAAGTAATATTTCAGGAAAACAACGTGTTGCCACAGAGATCTGTAATGGAGGAAGGAGTTGTGATGTAGGACATCTGAGTCCCCACTTCTGCCCTGACTGCCTGGCTATCCTGATTTTCTCTGCCCTGTCTTGATAAGGTGTTTTTTCCTGGAAGCGAAGAGCTCTGTGAAATCAGTTAAAGTGACGGGCATTGCAGACAGGTCTTTCTGTAAGCCTCCTGTTTATACCCACAGCAGGGTATCTGCAGCCAGGTTTTTGTAAGCCAGACTTTTCAGATGATGAATGGCGTGGCTGTGGACTTGGCAGTGTGAGGTTTACGGCTGGACTCAATATTAAAGGTCTCTTCTGACCTAAATGGTTCTACGGCTGTCCCTCCTTCCTTCAAGGTAGCCCAAGTCAGAGTGAAGATGGGCGGTCAGTCAGGGTGAGGATTAGCTTGGGACTAGTTTGTGTGTGTTCTGGATCTGGACAGGTTGCAGTGAGCCCCCTCAATACAACCAGAAGAGAGTTTTGCTTTGAGGTGGGCCCAGTTAGTCAAGGTACAGCGCCGGTGTGAAAGACCAGTCTGGCACTCGGACTCAGCGGAGGGTGTTTGGCCAAGTGGCAAAGATCCCGTGCTGTTTGGTAGTGCTAGGTTGAATCTCGGGAGAACGAGGTCAGCAGTGACTGAATCTTAACCTCCGGCCAAGGGTCAGTCTGCAGCTGAAAACTTTGAGACGTGATCATGCTGGTGGACATGGGGGAGGGAACGGGCTTGTGTCTTCAGCAGTTCAGCTCTCGGGCTCTGGTGGTGTGCTGGTCAGTGCTGGAGCCTGATTACGGCCCTGTAGGTGTACTCTCTAAATAAAAGAGATAACCTCCGGTCAGTGTCATTTTTGGCTGTCTCTACAAGCCAATTTCTTACCAATCACTTTGTCAGTTCTGCTTTTCTGCACATTGGCTGCTCGTGTACTTCCCGCAGGGTCTGCAGGCTTGACTCTCTATCTCAGGAAGGATGGTATTCAACATACGGTATACCCGTAGGAGTATCAAAATAAACCATAAGTGTTTATTTCAGTTAAAATTTACAGAAACATTGAAAAGCTCGTGACTTGAGCAAATTTAAAACCTCAAGAAATGCCGTTTTTGAAGATGTTGTTATTACAGAAGGTAATATGGCTTTAATTTCAGATTTATAATTTTAAATAAAATGCTGTTGATTTACTGTTGGTTTTGGGTTTTTTTAGGATACAACACCAGTATTTGAAGAGGAGTCAAAACCTATTTATTGTCAAAACTGTCAAAGCGTTTCTTTCTGCGCGTTTACGCAGCAGTCGTTGCTGGTGGTGTGCTCCAAGTACTGGAGGGTAAGACAAGCTCGCTGGACAGCACCCGGCTGCTTCTCCCTGTAGAAGCTGCGTAATTAATCTGCCAGTACGGCATTCAGATCAAGATGGTCTGTTTCATGTGTTTATATTGAGACCGAAATTACCTGCTGTCTGGGCATTTTAATTGGTAATTGGTGAGTGACAACAGACTTCTCTGTTTCTTCTCAGGTTTTTGATGCTGGAGATTATTCCCTCTTATGTTCGGTCCCTAGTGAAAACGATCAGACCTGGACTGGTGGTGACTTTGTGTCAGCTGATAAAGTGATTGTGTGGACGGAAGATGGACAAAGTTTCATATACAGATTACCAGCCAGGTAGTCAACAATGAAATACTCTGCTTATTTGTTTTTTGAGATAGAAACATGAGCAGCTTTTGAAGAAATACTGACTCTTTGGCTTTTATTTTGTTACAAAATCATACGGATGTTGCAGAATCTAGCATTCCATGAGCATGTTTTAAAGTGTGTGTCCCCCAAACAGGTGTTGAAGCAATGCTGGGTAATTTAGCTTGCCTCACCAAGGATTGCTTCGCTAGTTTCTGATATTACGCTAACTCTTTTTTCACTTCCTAATGGAGCTGTGTGGTGGGAAAAGGTGCATTTTGCTGTTGAACAAGTGTCAGAATTTAAAAGGAAATATAAATGAAATATTTCCTTAACCAGGTCCAAATAAGGAAGAAATAAGATTTTGCTATATGGAGTAGGATGTAAATGTTACTGTGTTGTTGTGACGGAGTACTCGTTCAGCCCGTTAGGGAAGGCACGAACAGCTGAGTTAGGACACGTAAATGTGAAAATATAAAATTAATTTCAATTTAGATATCAAAGGGGTTAAGTAAATGTAGAATGACAAAAGTAAAAGAAAAAAGTTTTCTTCTGTCATCTTTGTGACACACAAACATCTCTTTCTTCTGGGTGGAGATACAGTTTTATCTCTGAGATCCTTGCCTATTCTCACACGGATCGGGCAAGAACTCCTTTCACACCCTCTTACATGATCAGAGCATCAGGAAGCGAGCAGATCTGTCTGGTGATCTGTCGGAGGAATCCTCTAGTTTGGTGTGTTTTGGTCCTGAGTCTCGATGTGTTGAAGTGCAAAGCAGACCGAAAGCCAGGCTTCCTTCCTTCTTTTTCCCTTCAGTTGTGAGTGTGGGGGGAACTGAGGTGCACACGCTTGGAGCAGTTACTAATTGATGAAGCATACCCTGTACGTTAAAGTAGGAGTAATGACCTGCTGTACACGGTATAATAATTGAAAAAGTGTAATGTTTACGGGCTTGGGGTTTGGTTTTGCTTAGTGTTAGTTAGGCAGTGATGTAGTAATCGCTCTCCAGTAATACACGGAATTTTATTCCTTTCTCTTTGTTCTTAAACCCAGCTGTCTACCGGCTAGTGATTCATTTCGCAGAGACGTGGGGAAAGCAGTAGAAAATTTAATGCCGCCTTTATTGTACAGTGTGTTGGACAGAGCAGATAAACAGGTAAGATACGGGTCTTTGGAGTTACTTTTATGGACTGCTTGTCTGGTTTTGGAGAGTTGCAGCATGCATACCTCGTGACCAGTTCTTCTCTTTCCGAGTAGTCCTTTAGGATTTCTTGCTTTCCTAGAGAAAGCAGACAGTGCAACTTCCCTGCTGTTCTGTTGGGTTTGGTTCTTGTTGGTTTTCAGATCGATGCAGAGGTTCCTCTCTGGTCAAGTGACTCTTCAGTTCCTCTGTGCTAACAGTTCATTGTTCCTCGGTGCCTGGGGAAAAAGTTGTGATGTGTGTGATGATGAGGCAATAACTGAGCAAGAGCTTTTGGGGTCACAACTTTGAGTTCAAAAGCTTAAATCCTTGCAAAGTAAAGCAAATGGAGTTTTGTAGGCCAGAGTCCTCTTTGAGCTAGACTTCATCTGTGTGTCGCACTGCGAACTGTGCCTGCTGAAGCACCATGTATCGAAGACTGCTGCGTGAGGTATCTAGTACTTACATCTGTACTACTAGGTGTAAGGAACTGTCTGCTTTACAAATGCTATTAGTACAAGACTATTTGTAGGAATCCTTTTTGTATCTTAATCATTTAATCTGTTGGCAAATTTGGACATTGAAACTTTTTTCTTTTTCTTTATTTTGTCGGTCAATATTAAAAGTTTTTTGCTTCCGTTGTGGACCATGTTCCTTACCAAGTAGTGTAACTTCAGCTCACCGTTGTGGTTATTTTAGAATACACACACATACGTATATGTAAAATATTCCACATAGGAATATATTTAGAACAAACCCAAATATATATATAAACATCTTTTTTCCTGTCCCCTAAACCTGTGACTTGTTTTGTAACTAACCACATTTCTTCTGATTTGTATTGCTGTATTTGTTCTTTCTCCTGTAAGAAAGAGAAAGCGTAAAGGTGCTAATGTTTGTCCTGCTTTTTAAATGTACAGTGGGTATGTGGGGAGAGTACATTTTGAGGTTAGTAGGTGGTTTGCGTGTGATCTGAAGTTGTGTTGTTTTTTTTTTTAACAGCTACTAATATGTCCTCCAGTTACTCGATTCTTCTGTGGACAGAGGGAGTTTTCCTATAAGCTGCTAGTTCAGGGAGACTCTTCGGGGAGACTGTGTATTTGGAGTGTGCCTGATACTCTTGAACCACGAGGCAGTGCAAAAGGTATGCCTGATCAGTGGGCTCGTAACGGGCTTCTCTGGTTGTGATCGGTGTTTTGTGGCTGGAAAATGCACTGCTGCTTTTCCTGCAGATCCATCAAGTTGTGCGGTGGTTTTGTTGGGTTTTTTAACTGTTAGCTGCTTGTAAGGGTTATAGTAACTTAATTTTTTTTGATATATGATCCAAATCTTAATTTACTTTGAATGTTTTTCAGGTATTGAGTTTTAACTGCTTTATTCTGAATACTAGCTATGGCCATTGCTGTCTGCCTCTTGTAGCTTAAATCATATGCTTGTCCCGTTCTCACATAAGTTGTTTCCATGTGTCGCTGTAGCTTCCCTCCTGTAGTCGGTAAATTAATCTCCAGTGTGTACCTCTGGCTTCGAACCAGGCGTTGTAACACAGTGTATTTACACTTTGAGATCTTTTCAGAAATGCATTCTGAACGTCTCGATTTATTTTTAATTTTTTTTTTCTTTTAAATCCTCCTCCTGCCTCACCCTTTCCCTTGTTTCTTTTTAAACAGGACTGCAAACAACAACATCCATATCCCTCCAGGAAGCTTTTGATAAACTTACCCCTCGCCCTGCGGGGATCATAGACCAGCTGAGCTTAATACCAAACATCAACGAACCACTTAAAGTTACGGCCAGTGTGTATATCCCGGCACACGGGCGGTTGGTGTGTGGCCGCGAAGATGGCAGCATCGTCATCGTGCCGGCCACCCAGACTGCCATAGTCCAGCTGCTGCAAGGCGAGCACATGCTCAGGAGAGGTACGCAGAAACGCTCTGGGGTAGCGCGGCGGGGTGACAGCGCGCCTGCCGCTTGCAGGAGGTGCTCCAGTCCGGGGTGGCTTCACGAAGTGAGCATCGAGTCGCTTCACGGGCAGAAACCATGTCACTGTGGCCTTACCGGTTCTGGGGTCCTGTTCTGTAACGAGAAGCTGCAGTAACAAATCGGCTGTGGGAGGTCCCTTCCCTGGAAAGCCTTGGGTGTTTCTCCTGGGTTTTTGCGATGCGGTGGCAGAGGTACGGCGGGGGACACCTCCCGTCTCTGCCCGGTGTTCAGCTGGGCTGTCCGTGTGCGGGGAAGATCTTCCTGGGGAACCGACATGTCTGTCAGAGCGTTCCTCTCTGCGTATTGTCTGGTTAGCGGAGTGGTACGCGTTGGCCTGCTGCTGGGTGTGTTTTGGTTGCAGACAACGTAGTTTTAATACTTTTGTGGTCACGGTTGCAGAACAAATATTTGGGGTTCGAGTTTTACAAACGCTGACAACTGAAAGAGACATGGAAATGTTTTTCTGTAAATACACCTGAGAGCTTGTCAGTTCTGTACAAGGCTGTTGGTGGTGCTCTTTCCTTTATATAAACTGATTTCCTTTGTGTAAGTCTATACAAAAAATGTTTTTTTTTTCTTAATGTGAAGTTTGATGGCTTCAGAGTTGATATGTTATTCCACAAATAAGTGTTGGTGATTCATACCCTCATAAAAATACAAAAGTGCCTGCATGTATTCTACGTGAGGCTTGCTGTGCTTGCTACAGAGCATCATCACGTAGAGGAAAAAAGTTCCACTCTGTCTTGCAGGTATTGCATAGAATACTTGATTCTGGTATCGAATTTACTGTGCTCACTTTGTCAAATTTGCCATCTAAAAAGGCAGTTTCTCTAAGCATCTTTTGCAATAGTTAAAAGGTTAGAATGAGAGTGATTTACCTCCTGGGTTTGATCTTGATGAGCGGAAGACTCCCCATTCTTGCTCTCTGTTCGCAAAAAATATTTTCCTTTTCAAATTTAAATTTGATGTTGTTAACCTCTTCTGCACAAGCACCAAGTACATAACACTGCAGACTTGCGTGCCAGCATTGTGGCCAGTGCAGAGTGAGATTACACAGTTTTCCTGGTACTGGTTCTTTTGGTTATAACCTTGGATAAGTTCACGTTTGACGGGGAAGGGTATTAATTTTTTCACATCTTTGTGGCCTTTGTAAATTTTTCTGGGATTTTTTTTAGGGCAAAGAGGCTATTTTAACACAGCTGAATTACATAAGTGAGATTGTACAGCAAGACAAGAAGCATTGTTCATATTCAGCCCATATCCAGTAGAAAAATCATGAACACTTTAAAAAAAAAAAAAAAAAAAAACAGGGCTAATTCTGTAAGAACTTCTGTCAAAAATTGCAGTGTGTCTGTGTTTGGTTTTTTTTTATCAAGAACAGTGTTTTGGATAGTTAACTGAATTACTTTTTTTTTTTTTTTTTTCTCTTTCCCCCTTACCCAATTTCTCAGGTTGGCCACCTCACCGGACTCTCAGAGGCCATCGAAACAAAATTACATGTTTACTGTATCCTCATCAGGTTTCTTCTCGTTATGATCAAAGGTATTTGATCTCAGGTGGTGTGGATTTCTCAGTCATCATATGGGATATATTTTCTGGAGAGATGAAACATATCTTCTGTGTACATGGTGGAGAAATTACACAGCTTCTAGTTCCACCAGAAAACTGTAGTGTAAGTTTTACATAATGTCTGATAACCTGTCTCACGCTTTCCATAAATGGTACAGCTCCTCAAATCCTTCCTGAGAATGTAAATGTGGTATGAAATACTAAAAGAGTAGCACTGACCCAATGTCTAATGCTTGCAGGCACTTAAAAAGAGCTTAATTGTCGTGTTAACCTCTGTTCTGTTCGCGTTGTGTTTTAGCTACTTAAAGGATTAAAAATAATGGAAAAACTGGGTGTTAAAATCTAGCTAGCTAAGGAACCGCTTGGTACTTTATGATATATACAGCATTAACAGCGGGAGAGGATTTCCCCGACGTGGAAGCGGGCTTTCCCCTGGAGGTGTTTGCGGATGTGATAGGCAGGCGCTCCCCACCAGTCAGCCCGTAGGTTTTAAAGGCAATTTTGTCTCTCGTAACCTGGATAATGGGTGGAATTTAATGAACGAAGTCGCACTGATTTACTTGAAAACTATGGTTTCACTTTTTTTTGCTCAACAGAACAGGTTCTAGTACCTGTTTGCTCCTCATGATGTGCAAAAGGCTGGATTCAAGAGAATTTCTGCAGGTGCAATTCTGCTTCTAGTGACTTCAGCGAGTTTAGCCGTAGACTGGTGTGCCTGGGTTTTGTTTAGGAAAGAGGGCATCGATCACCGTGCTTGGTCCAGCGAAGGAATTATTAAATGCAAACTCTCTGCAGTATGATTAAGATTTCTTTTGTTTTCTTTTTCCTTTTTTCTTTTGTTAGGCGAGAGTCCAGCACTGCATTTGCTCTGTTGCCAGTGATCACTCAGTAGGTCTTCTGAGTCTGCGGGAGAAAAAATGCATCATGCTGGCGTCCCGTCACCTTTTCCCTATCCAAGTGATAAAGTGGAGGCCTTCCGATGACTATCTGGTGGTGGGGTGTTCGGACGGGTCTGTGTACGTCTGGCAGATGGATACTGGTGAGGCTGAGTTCAAAGATGTTGATTAAACAATATATACTTATATATTTGGTTATAGTTCTGTATAAGTTGCGTCTGAGAGAAGAGTTAACATTTTGTTGCGCATTTGTATTTGGAAATGTAGCACTTTACGTAATCTACAGATTTTGGGCATCTGTTAGCTTTTGTTAAATACACACTTTAGTATTTGGAATAACTCATCTAGTTTTGGAGAAATTCAGCTTGCTGTAGCTATCTTCCCCCTACATATTTTCCTCGTTACCTTTAGAGAGACGGGTTAAAATGTTGGTTGCACTTGTAGTGTCCTCTCAGTTTTAGTGTCCACGCTTCCTCAGCAAATTTTCTTGAAAGCTTGGGGTAGACGGGCAGCACCTCGAACCTACAGTAGTCTCCTCGTCTGCAGAGTGAAGAAAGTGTTTGTCTGGCTGCTTTTGTCTGGGTTGTTTGGTTGCTGGTTTTTGGGTTTGTTTTAAAGGGAACTAATGCTTAGTTTAGAAGAAACTAAAAATGAGCCTTAACGGAATGGGCAACAAGGCATAAAATAACAGCTTTGTTGTAGAAAATTTTGTGATATTTGAAAAGGCAAAAGTGAGGAAGAAATGCGTCAAAACATACACAGTATGTAATTACCTTCCAACTCCTTAACTCACTTAAGGAAAAAAAAAAACACAAACCCTCCATAATGCCTGAATATTATTTTCAGCTTACTGTGAAAACTAGATGAGAATTGTTTTCTCTTGGAGCTCTAGGAAGAGGAACCTGAGATCCATTGTGAAAAATTTGATCCACACAGGTCGTTGGGTGGGAGAGGGAGTTCAAAACGACTGAGAACAGCCTTCCACTTAAAAAGTTGAGCAACTGCAGCGATCGCTGTCTGGGTGATATGGAATCGCATTGTGGGGCTTTTAAACTTGTCTTCATCTTTTGTTAATGTAGTTTTTCCTTACACACTTCAGCTTCATGGAAACTTAGGAAAATTCCACCCCTTTAGGAATATTAGTTCCAAAAATAGCCCTTAACACAACGGGAAGTTCTATGCATTGTGTCCTGTGGTGTAAATTATTTTCATACCTTGTTGTACTGGTGGTATTTTGGACATTCTGAATTATTTGTGCTTAAACTCACACTTTTTGAAATATTTTCAGGTGCGCTGGACAGGTGTGTGATGGGCATAACAGCAGTGGAAATCCTGAACGCCTGTGACGAGGCCGTGCCAGCGGCTGTGGACTCCCTGAGCCACCCCGCCGTCAACCTGAAGCAGGCCATGACGAGGCGTAGTCTGGCTGCTCTGAAAAACGTGGCGCATCAGAAGCTACAGACCCTGGCCACTAACCTACTGGCTTCCGAGGCGTCCGACAAGGTAGGTTCTGTTTTTAATGCAGCACCCGAAACGTTTATTTACACAAATAATTGAATAAAATATGGGAAGCCTTCATTGTGGTAACTGAAAGGTTCTTATCCAAAGCTCTCCGGAATTTTAATAGAAAGACCTAAACTAGCTTTACCTGGCCTTGGGTCCGTGCTAGGAGAACTC